GGATGAGTCCCTATACTTGGACAAGATGAAGTTGGGTGAAGAAGCCCATCCGTGGTTGGCGGAGTACTTGGCAATCCCAGGTACCACCCCCGAGTGGTTGACTGCAAGGGTAAAGATATTGAGAAGAACGTTGAACTTTGAGGCTAAGGGGTGGGAGACATTTGTGTATAGCAAGCTAGACCCTACCACCCATGATAACTCATTCCCAATTCACCAGGAAATTCTGGTTGCATCTATCATGGTAGGGTACCCGATCAATGTCGGGAATGTGATGTCCCGGGTTATTACATGGGTAGTGAACGAAGGTGACAGATCTTATCCCTTCGCCAACTTCATGACCTTGTACCTGGAGGACCAAGATGTGGAAAAGCACAAATTTGATGTGAAAGTGAAGGCAAAGACACCTTTATCATGGTACAACCTACATGGTGATGATAACCCTAAAGTCAAGCACTTCTAGGGCAAATCCACTACTTCAACTGGCCAGTCTGAAAAGCCAGTAGTGGTAGTGACCACTCTGCAGCCTCCTTCCACTTCAGCAGACATGGCCCCAGGTCCATCCACTTCCACAGCTCCAGAGATACCCTCCACCACTGCCAATCCATTGACTACCCACCGTCTAATCCAGGCCCTCACCAGCATCAACAAATAGAAGCAGACAACTACTTCTAAGTTGTCTGTATTATCTACTGTTGTGGCAGCTCAATCAGTACCTCCTCCTCCACAGATCCCACAGTCTATTGAGGACACTATCAAGGATCTTCTAGACAACCATAAGAAGATCCTAGAGACTCAGAATTTGCTTACGGACGTTGTTGATTCATATGGAAAGGCTCTCAAGGAGCTAATAGGGAGGCAAAGAAGATGAGGAATACTAGGGCTTCCAAAGAGTCGGTGAAGGAGTTGCGGGTCGAGGTTGAGAGATTGAAGGCGGATCACCTACCTTTAGATTTGCTACTGCATGACCTAGCACTAGCAACCCAGCCCCAGCCAGAGCAGTCTGAGAGGCCTCATAATAGGAAGAGGGTGATTCCCCAGTCTGATGATGCAGTTATTCAGTTGGAGAACCCACTGGGAGATTCCTCCAACCAGCCCCAGGAGGCAGCCCAGGAGCCAGTCCAGGTCCAGTCCCAGGTCCCAGCAGAGCCACAGACCACAGGGATCCAATCACAGGTTCCCGAGCATACAGAGGACCTAGGGACCACTCAGGATCCCATGCAAACGGACGGCCCATAGGGAGTTTCTTTTTCCTCTTTCCTCTATTTTTGTGCTTATTTTGGTTAGTTGGCATTGAGGACAATGCCAGCTTTCATTTGAGGGGGTAGCCTATTTGGATTTGGATGACTGTACATATGACAAATTTTATGATTTCTTGCTTTCTTTTTTATCTTTGTTATGTATATAATTTCAACATTTTATTACATTTTTCGTACTTTTTTATCTTGGGTCTGTATATAAAAGCTACGTTCTTATGTATATATTCATCTCCCCTATTGTATATTTGATTAAATCCCCTCTTGTACATATTCATTTTACTTTCCGCATTTTTTCTTTTCTTAGCTTCTTATTTTATGTTCGTAGCTTCTTGTTTTGAGTTTTTACAATAAGACTTTGGTTTTCTTAATGCCACGGTTCTTTCCAAAGGTGGAATTTGTGTGAACCGGGTGGCTTTTCCCGATGATGGATGACATGACAACCTTCTTAAGGGTTTGAGTCTGTTTTTCTTTTTGCTTTTTAGTAGTTAGTTGGTAAGGGTGCCTCAAGCAAAGTTTCACTTGTGCTTAACACATTTGCCTTTGATCCTATGGTCAAAAACAAATCGTTGTGTATAGGATGGTGAAAGTTGTGACCTTGAGACTCTTGTATTGGCCGATAATCATCAAGTGATTTTTCGGGGCCATTGTGTGCTCAAATCTTATCTAAGGTTGTTGTGGGCACCCGACTCTGTGTCTTTAACGATCCCATAGCTTGTGTGGTGAGAAATTGAATTGCAAGTCCAAGTCCCAAGCCATTGGTCTAGAACTTGCCCTGAATGTTTGTCTAGGCAAAATTCTAAGTGTAATTTGACTTGAGACATGATTATAGGCTCTCCTTGATCTGGACGATATCTTGAACACTTCCATAGCCTACCAATTATAAAATCCCTAGTCAACCATTTTGAGCCTTAGACTTTTTTCCTTCAAGAACCATGATACAAGCCTTTACCCATTCTAAAGATACCCTCTATTGGCACCCGATCTTTCCTTAGCACATGGCAAAAGTATAAGTTTGGGGGGAGAGATAAGGATTGCAATAAAGTGGTAAAAAGGTACAAAATGAAGAAAAGGAAAGGCAATAAAAAAGAAAGAAAACCAAAAAGACAAAAAGAATGTTCAATTTAGAAATGAATAAAGGGATTCAATAAAAGCAAAGAATGAAAGGTGTGGAAAGTTGAGAAAGGAGAAAAGATTTGAAATGAACGAGAAAGAGTGACAGTGTGTCTCTCTAACCCCTTAGAAAGAAGTGAAATGGCTTAAAAAGTTAAGTGAATGTATTCCAAAATGAAGCAAAAGAAGTGTTAAAGGGAAGATGGAACCTACTTAGACCAAACATTTCCTACCCTGAACCAAATGCCTTCACTATATCTCCACAAAAGTCCTATATGATCTTGAGTTGAATGAAACTTACATTAGTGGTGACTTACATAAGGGGTAAGCATATGGTACTTAGAGCCAGATTTGTGACTTTTCCTTGAGAGAGATGAGTGTATTTCCATTAACCTCGTTCTGAGTGCCACTATCCTAAAGGTAAGGTTTGCTTAGGGAGAGTTGAGGATGTGTGAGTTTGGGTTCCACAATGACCAAAGTAATAGAAAAGAGTTTCTTTGATGTGTTGAGTCAACACTTGATGCTCTTGTGTCGCACTAAATCCATAGTGTTCAAAAGAGTGAAATTTATTAATGATTCATTTGAATTGAGGGCAATTTTTAGTCCCAATTGATGCTAGATGAGGTCACTTTAGGTCGGCTGAATTTTCTTGGATTGACTCTTAAGGGGTGGGTCTTATTTTGTTTGCTTGAGGACAAGCAAAAACTTAAGTTTGGGGGAGTTGATAACTAGGGATTATGATGCAATTTACACTCCTTCTTGCTTAAGTTTTGATTAGAAATGTGTACAAAATATTCCCAAAGGCTCACATGCTGTACTTGATTGCAGGGTTTGGTCAACAAGGTGATAATTTGTCAAAGCTCAAAAAGGAGTGAAACATTCACAAGTACCAAGAACAAGGCCAAACTCAGTCTAACAGGATTAGTGCGGCCGCACACCATTCTGTGTGGTCCGCAAAGATGAAGTTCAGAGAGCATGCAATTCAGGCAGCCAGGCAATGCGGCCACATAGTATTTTGTGCGGACCGCATTGACTTCATTGCGGCCGCACTCGACTTTGTGAGGTCCGCAAAGCTCAAGTTCAGAGAGGTGCTATCCTCTCTGAGCCATACTTGTGACTTTTCCTTGAGAGAGATGAGTGTATTTCCATTAACCTCATTCTGAGTGCCACTACCCTAAAGGTAAGGTTTGCTTAGGGAGAGTTGAGGATGTGTGAGTTTGGGTTCCACAACGACTAAAGTAATAGAAAAGAGTTTCTTTGATGTGTTGAGTCAACTCTTGATGCTCTTGTGTCGCACTAAATCCATGGTGTTCAAAAGAGTGAATGTTGATAATGATTCATTTGAATTGAGTACAATTTTAAGTCCCAATTGATGCTAGATAAGGTCACTTTAGGTTGGCTGAATTTTCTTCGATTGACTCTTAATGGGTGAGTCTTATTTTGTTTGCTTAGGACAAGCAAAAACTTAAGTTTGGGTGAGTTGATAACTAGGGATGATGATGCAATTTACACTCTTTCTTGCTTAAGTTTTGATTAGAAATATGTACAAAATAGTCCCAAAGGCTCACATGTTGTACTTGATTGCAGGGTTTGGTCAACAAGGTGAAAATTTGTAAAAAACCAGCTCAAAAAGGAGTGAAACATGCACAAGTACCAAGAACAAGGCCAAGCTCAGTCTAACAGGATCAGTGCGGCCGCACACCATTCTGCGTGGTCCGCAAAGATGAAGTTCAGAGAGCATGCAATTTAGGAAGCCAGGCAATGCGACCGCATAGTATTTTGTGCGAACCGTATTGACTTCATTGCGGCCGCACTCGACTTTGTGCGGTCCGCAAAGCTCAAGTTCATAGAGGTGCTATTTTGGAGGACTTGGCCGATGCGGTCCGCGGTCCATTATATGCGGACCGCAATAGAAGCCACCGCGGCTGCAGAGCATTTTGTGGGGTCCGTGGTGGGCAACTTCAGAGAGCAGATTATTTAGCCAAGAGCCTTAGTACGACCACACTCGATTTTGTGCGGTCCGCACTAGCTCTGTGAGCACGTGATTTTTGCCCTATACGAATTGCTCCTATAAAATCCAAGAAAATAGATTTTTCCAATTATCTGCCATTTTATAGGATTTGGGTAGGATTTTTATTAATTGTTTGCATTTTTGTGCACGTTTAATTTTTGTTTTAATTATGAAAAAATACCAAACATATCGTGCATTGCATTTATGATTTGTTTTTTTATTTTTAGAATTAACAAGTAATTATTTGCATTATAAAAATTTGAAAATCATAAAAATAGCTCATTTTTTCATTTTTTGTCTTTTACTTTTAGTTTATTGATTTTCCTCTTTTAATTTAGAATTAAATAATGTTTATAATTTTTACAACTAGTTAATTAGTTTAATTTCACATTTTTAGATAATCTAGGACTTTAATTTTAGGATTTTTAATTAAAGAAGAAGAAAAAGAAAACAAAGAAAGGCAAAATGGCCAATTTGTAACTCAAAATTGGACTGGGCTAGCTTGGAACAACCCATTAGATTTAAATTCCTAGCCCATTTTTAAAGGCCCAGACCATTGACCCATTAACCCTTTCCCCTCTTTATACCCTAAATCACTCATATTAAATGGGGCGAAGATCGAAGATCCATGGAAGTTTCGTCTCTAAAAAATACAGAATGATGTTATTCTCTGAGAACAAAAATTAGAGAGCGGGACACTGCAACAAGGAAGAGCAAAAAAACATTTTCTCTGTTCTTCATCTTCCTCTCAACAGATGAACAAACCCATGAGCTGCCGCCTCCGTCCACTCTAACTCCTTCCTCTCTAAAGAACTAGTAGACGTCCGTCTTCACACATACACAAACACACGAAAAAATAACAAAAATCTGAAATTCAGTGTTGAAAAATTAGATTCTAGATCTGAAATATGATAGCTTCAAATGAAAGAAAGAAAAGAGGGTAGAGAGGAATCTTTGAATTATTTGAGTTTACCGCTGCTCTCTTTGTTCTGGGTTTCATCTTCAAAAGCTTGCTCTTGGTCGAAAATTGTGCTATTCCTCTGCCGAAAACTGCTTGCTGAGTTCCATAGCTTGGTTATCGGACTCCTATTTGGTCTCTATTTGTGATTTTTTGGTAATTAAGGTATGTTCTAAACCAAATTGGGTGTTGTCTCAATTTCTACGAAATGAAAAATCGAATTAACCGTTATTATATGTCTAATTTCTCATGTGTTTGAAAGATTCCAGAATTTTTGCAGTTGAAAGATCTTCTATGTGTAGTAGTTGAAGTAGATTTGTGTTCAAATGGACATATTTTCTTAGTGTGAATAGTTTTGTTTGGATTGTTTCGACCAGTTCAATTTTAGTTAGAGTGATCTTTTCTTATCGTTCTTGAAGTATGTTAGAGATTTGTTTCCATACCATTTCTTAAATACTTTGATCATTAAATGACTCTTTGATAGCTCAGAATATCTAGGAATGCATTTATGGATGTTTACTTTGCTCCTTGAATGTTTGTTAAATATTTTGATTGCTCCGTTCGAGACAAGTGAGGATGTTTTCATGGTTTTTTTTTTTAAATCTTTGTTGCTAACAGATGGTTTATTAGCAAAGGAATGTGATTTTTGTTTTCATTTATAAAATCAGAAGCCAAAAATTCCTTGTGGCCTTTACTAAAATACTCGAGTCCTTTGTGTTGGTGTCGTTTTTGTTTCTGGATTTAATCGTGATATTTGATTTTATTTTTTTGGTTTTGAAATCGGCGAATGTGAAGGAAGAAGAATTTCAAAAGCATTTGGCCTATTCTTTGCAACAATATTAAAACTGGAAGCCAAAGTAAGAGCAACTGTGATCTTAAACCAAATCCCAACCTTGCAATTTTGTTAAATCTGAATGTAGCAAAGAATCATGGAAGAATGTCTTCCTTGTCCTTTTCGTCAGTTTGGTCTCTTAAGTTGGTAGGCGTCGTTGCTAAGATTAATATAGGGGATTTATGTGTAAAGTTACTTCATTTCCTGGTGCTACAAATTCACTCAAATCAATCGTATGATAACACACACACACAAAAAAAAAGTACTATTTGCTTCGTTTAATTTATGGATTGTTTATCAAATTCTTGAAGGTTGGGTTGTAACATTAGCTTTAACTTCAAGCACTTTTTATATATCCCTAATTGACAACCTCACAACAAGTCTCAAAGTAGCTTAAGGAATAATTCATGAACATCCGTAGTTTGTTTTAGTTAAGTACAATCCTTTGAAATAACTTGAGGCGTTCAATGTCAAATAAAACCCCTAAATTCATGGCCCTCAATTAATTTTAATCCTTTAGAAATCGAGGTGTGCCATTAGTTGAATTTTACATGGCCCTCGCAAAGTTGAAAGTGCGTAGTTGCTTTTGGTGCGCTATTTTAAAATTACTTTCCTAAACTCGGGTGTGCATTTCATGTGACCCAAATCCAAATCCTAACAACGTTAAATAAAATATGTCTCGGACTATGGGTGCATTTCATGTGGTGTGTTCCAAAGACGTATTTTAGATGACGTTGAAATTTTCCTTAAAATAATTAAAAGCGGTTAGAAAATTAAAATATACCATAGGCTAAAACATGTATTAAAATCAGATAATAGGCCAATTGTAACAGTTGAGCGACCATGCTAGAACCACGGAACCCGGAAATGCCTAACACCTTCTCTCGGTTAACAGAATTCCTTACCCGGATTTCTGTGTTCGCGGACTGTAAAACAGTGTCAATCTTTTCTTCGATTCGGGATTTGAACCGGTGACTTGGGACACCATAAATTATCCTAAGTGGCGACTCTGATTCTTAAATAAATAATCACGTTTCGATTGTCACTTTAAGTTGGAAAAAACTCCCTTATTATAAATCCCTTCCGGGTGTAGGAAAAAGGAGGTGTGATAGCTCTGGCGACTCTGCTGGGGACAAGAACCTAGAACTTTTGGTTCAGGGTTCAGAATTCGAGCTTAGATGAATTGTTATATTTGACTTTATGTATTATCTGGTTTTATTCACATGTTTGGACCTAATATGCTAAATGTTACTTTTACCGCTTTGATATTCTGTGAACTGTATATAAATTGCTACGAATCCCTCCTCTCTCTGAGTCTTCTAAATCATGGAGAAGTGTGCACTTCGTGTGACTTCTTTTCTGTTAGAGTCATATCCCAAATTTTAGAACGAGGTTCGGACAAGTTGCAAAGTCGGTGAAGCTTCTGTATTCCCAGTACGCTACCCCCCTCAGCTCGAGTTGTCCGCTCAGGTAGGCCAGGTCTAGAACAATAAACCCAGGTTTTAAACCTAGTATAACAAGACCTCATGTCGGATCCCTAGTATGAACGTTTGCTTGCATCGCGTGCATTTGACTTTGAAGACTCAATACAGGGGTTGGGTCTATCTAGGACAAGTGTACCAAAAATGAAAAAACGACCATCCTGATGCATCCTACTTGCTACTTGTGCATTTATTTTCTTCGGATTTGCATGTTGACCGGCTTCTGAATAATAGGAGAAAGTTGGGAAAAGAAAATAGCAGTGTGAGGGTTAAGGGGGCTAATTACCTATTTTAAAAGATCAATGTCCAAATGGTACTGAAACTCTGCCGAATTTTTGAGAAAGATGAAAAAAAAAGAGAAAGTCTTGTTTTCAAAAACAGTTGGTTTTGTTTCATTTGCCCGAACTACGCCAGTTTGATTCTCAAAGGGTGTGAGATACGTAGGCAACCCCCATCGGGTCCAACTTCCTTTTTACAAAAATATCCCCAAAAGAACAAAAAATTAATTTTATTGCAAATAAGTAAGGTGATGCCATTCTTGTCTAAAATAGCCGAATGTCCCCAAAAGGGCACCGGAAGGCCGTTTTTGCAAGAATAGCCACCTTTGGTCATTTTTCAAGGTTTTTGCCGATTAGCGAACACAGCCTTAAAATCTTCGTTTTCGGAGTGCTGAAAGGTCGTATTGGCAAAATCGGATATTTTTGTGACAATTTTGAAAAAATGGTCATTTTTCTTGAGCCAAAATGAGTCATAGTTTTCTTTTAATGAAAATTACCCTAATAAATGTGCAGGATGAGCACAACTCAAAATGAACCTTTCTCAGTTCGTGAAGAGATCCCTTTGGAGCTACATGTGGTGGCATGATTTGGGGGACGACGATAGGAAAGTTATGACAAAAGCGTTGGGTGGTCTTATCGGGCTCTTGAAGGTTAAGCCAAGAAAGGACGTGATTGAGGCCTTGATACCATTTTGGGACCCAACACATAATGTATTCCACTTTGCTGATTTCGAGTTAACTCCTACACTGGAAGAGATAGCAGGCTACATCGGTTTCGACGGGAATCTTATAAATCAATACCCGGTGGCACCTAGAATAGTAACCCCTCACAAATTTTTGGATTTCTTAAGCATCACTCAAGACATCCGAGACGGAAATTTGGCCAAAGGATTCTGTACCTTCTACTTTTTGTACTGACGTTATGGGAATCCCCGTGGCTTTGAGACGCCAGATACCGGTCTTACTCACTCGGGAAACCAAGACAAGTGGGAAGCTTGGAAAGGATTAGCTTTTATAGTGGCGTTCCTGGGTATTTTGATTTGCCCCAGAAAAGACGGGAATATAGAGTTGGGACTCGTGGGGATAACTGATTTTATGATGAAAAAGGCAAATGGGACCATAGTGCCGCTGATCTTGGCAAAAATTTACCGAGCTTTGACCCTCTGCCGAGAAGGAGGAAAGTTCTTTGAAGGGTGCAATATGCTGTTACAACTGTGGATGGAGGAACACCTTTGCCACCGTCCCGGATACTTGAATTGTGATATGACTGGCCTCGAGTGCATTGAAAAACATGAAAAGTGGGTAGAGGGTTATGAGTTCCCGGATGGTACAAAAGCATGGCATGCCCACTAGAGATCCTTTACTGCAAACAAGATCGAATGGACGTTTGGGTGGCTCTCGATCGTTGAAGTAATTTATATGTCGGTTGAGGTGTGTTTTCTGCTGTTGATGGATCTTCAGAGTATCCAGCCTTATGCTTCGCACCGAGTTCTATGTCTGTTAGGCCGATACCAGACCATCCCACACGATGAGGATTTGAATCGGCAGGTCATTAAGTTAGAACCAAAAGTTGTTTTCCCAGAAGAAAAAGTGCGTCGGATTTGGCATTAATGCAGATTCTTAGGGCCTAAGACTCAAGTGCAAGATCTATCCAGAGGCGAATTAGAGCCTGGTTATAAAAGATCTCAAGTCCATCAAGAGCTCGAACGGCCCCCAAAGAGACACTATGTCCAACAATTCACCGACGGAACATAGGTGCAATGGGACTGGTTGACCAAAGAAAACGAGTGCAGAGCTACCATAAGCAAGTTGGAAAGACAAGTCAGTGATCTTCGATTTGAGAATGGTTTGCAAGCCGCCGCAGATGAAAGGGAAAAGAAAAAGCTAACTCAGGAAAATGAAGCCCTCAAAGCTCAAATCCAGAAAATAAGGATAGCCGTTAGAAACCCAGAAAGAAGCCGAGCGGATTAAAGGCTTATAGGCAGTCTGAGAAAGAAAGCACTTGAGTGTCAAGAAGACCTAGAAAAGTCTGAAGCCAGTCTAGCAAAAGTCCGGGCTCAATTGGCGGAAAATGCAAAAGGGCGGGCACAGTTTGTGCAACAAATAAAAAGAAAGTATGAAGGGACAATCACCAGCCTGAAGAGAAAAGTCACTACTCTCGAGAATGAAGCAGCCAAGCAGACCAAAGATTTTAAAGCTGATAGAGAACACTGTTATGATTTGATGGCTCAGATGGAGGAAGAAATACAACAATTACAAAATCAACACCTCCATGATACTCAGGTGTTAGAAGCTCCGGAATCAGCAGGTCGGGCCTCTACTTTAGGAAAAGTGTAGAATCCGAGAGAGGGTCAGAGCCGTTGCCGACTACATTGTCATGAAATGCCAAGCATGTGAGGACATGACTCATACCACTTTCTTAGTTGTAGTGATGACATTTGCCCACCAGATAATGAGTGATTTGGAGAGGTTTAAGGGGATCCTGCACAGAGTCCGGTGGCGAGACCGAATGATGTCCCACGGGCCCTAGGAGCATTTGAGACATAGATGTATTCATGATTTTTACTCGAGTCTGTATTTTCTTTCTGTTGGAGTTTGTTAGTCTATTTTTGAGTTTGTGTTTTCATCTTACTGTTAGAATCTGTTAGTTTCCTTTTCAAGTCTGTTGATTTTTATGGTTAAAATTTGGTAGGATGAGTCGTTGTAATCAAAACATGTTATTTTTATGAAAAAATTGAAAATCCCAAAATGTTTTATTATTATTTTTATCCCCCAGAACTACGCTCAGTCTGATTCTTGCGGGGTCATGATACATATGCAATCTTCATAGGATTCGACCATAATCAAAAGAAAAAAAAAAGAGAAAAAGAGAGGAAAGACGAAGAAAAAAAACAAGAAAGGAAAAGAGAGAAAAATAAGAAACCATGGGGAGGAAACAATGGCAAAACAAGAGAGAGAAATGAGAGGATAAAAACAAAGAGAAATCAAGCATAGAAAGGCATGAGTGAAAAGAAAGGAGAAGAAGTTGCAAATGGAAATAAGGAAAAGCCGGGATGATGCAAGCAACCGATCAAATGCATAATAGAAACGGTTAACTGCTTAGGTGCATTCATTCCCCAAATGTGTGGTTGCCTATCTGTTAAGCTCTAATCACTAACAAATTTGTTGTTGACAATTCAGCATAGAAAGGTGGTTGGTTTGTAGTTCCCGAAGTAGTAACTCCTCTCCGCAACATAAATTCAAAAGGAAATGGCGGACATCAACAAAATTGGGTTGGTTGATATTGGTGCCCGAAAGCAGTTGGTTGAACGGGACACTGGTTTGGCTGATGAGGTAAGTATGTTAAGACAACACATGACGGATATGTATCATGCTTGGATGACCCCCGCCACCTCCTAGCTTCCTAAATGCTACCCTTACCCAAACACCGGTCACAATGCCAGATGATCCCCCATACTCTCCAGATCCACCCGCTTATCATGGCTTTCCCAACCACCCTAGTAGCTCCATCACTCATCTTCCAATTACCTTTCCCAAAAATTGCCCTCCTGTCTTATCCACCATCCCCAATAATGAACACCCACTCAAAGCTCACGATGCCCAATATTACCCCTCAGAGGTTGCCCACAAGGTTCCCAACTCATACAAGTAGGGCTCGCGGGATGAGCCTCATGTTGGAAATGAAAAGTTCACAGGAAGAAAAGGGCGAGATGGGATACCCAGGAGGCTGAAAGGCATAGAACAGTCCTTAAAAAACAAGCAAGGAATGGGAGACCAGGGTAGCATGTCTTACAAAGAATTGTCTATGTCCCCCGACGTTCGTCTACCTGCGGGGTTAAAAGTGCCAAAGTTTAACTTGTATGATGGGTGTGGAGATCCAATAGCCCATTTGAGGGATTATTGTAGTGAAATGAGAAGTGTTGGCAAGAAAGATGATTTGTTAATGGCATATTTCAGTGAGAGCCTGACTGGGGCAGCTTTGGAATGTCATAATCATCAAGATGTTGGTAAGTGGCCTACATTGGGTGACATGGCTCAAGATTTTGTTCGGTGCTTTCAATACAGATTAGGTGTTACCCAGACCGCTCATCCCTGTCTAAAATGGAAAAGAAGCCGGAGGAAAGCTTTAGGGAGTTTGGGCTCAGATGGAGGGAGAAAGTTGCTCGAGTCAATACCTCGATTGGTAAAGAAGAAATTGTTGAGCTTTTCCTGCAAGCCCAGGGGCCCACCTACTTTAGTCATTTAATCCCCGCCTTGGGAAAGCCTTTCAATGATGTGTTAAAAATAGGGGAGCTGGTAGAAGAGGGAATCAAGTCAGGCAAAATCATGAGTTGTTCGAAAGACATTCAGAACATCCCAATAAGCTTGGGTGGAAGAAAGAGAAACAGAAAAGATGATCTAATGGGCCTTCCTGCTCAACACTTCCAGCCTCGACATCATCCCCGTGGATATCCTTGTGCACTAGATGACCCTCCCCAATGCTACTTCTGTCCACAGAACTCCCAAAGTCGTATATCACTTTCCTAGTACCCAGCTCCACAAAATGCCTATCCATCCCTACGAGCCTACCGAAACCCCCCTAGATCAGGTTTCCGGCCTAATCAAGCATTTAAGAATGAGAGGTTGCGGAAGAAGAAAACCTTCACTCCATTGGGAGAGTCATATGCCAGTCTGTTCCAGAGGCTAAGGAAATTGGACATGTTGAAGCCTATCCAGATAAAAATGCCAAACCCTCTTCCAAAGAAGTTTGATTTTTCTCAGAGGTGTGCATACTGCTCAGATGCCCCGGGGCATGACATAGAGAAGTGTTGGAATCTGAAGAACGTGATTTAGAAGCTTATTGATGCAAGCGATATTATCGTGCAAAATCTAGATACAGCAGATACTAGCCAAAGTCTGTCACCTGTGCATAATGAGACACATATGGTGGGTATGATTTATTTTGAAAAGGAATGTGAGAGTTCTTCTGGGATCCTCGGAGGTCCATGCACTACAAAGCTTTCAGCACTATCAGAGGTTGATCCTAAGAATGAGCAGGAAAAGGGAACCCAAAGGCAGTCTGTTAAGAACAATGTGATGGAGACTTGTGAAGGTCCTAGTATTGATGATACAGAAGTCAGTGGCTAAGATGTTGAGTTTGATGATTGGAAAGACGCTCTTTTCTTGGTTAGCTAGGGAGGAGTTTTGGTGGTTTATTTTGTTGTCATTTCTGTTGTCCAGGTTATTTCAGGGTTGTAATCTGGATACTATCTTGTGACTCAAACCGTTATATCCTTTTATTTTGCCTAGTTCGTTTAGTCGTAGCAGCTCGTTTAGTGTTGTTTAGGTTTGTTCCAGGGTTGTAACCCCAATTTAGTTTGCTTGTCTTGTTGTTCAAACCCTTTCACCATCTATCTAATGCAATTTTCTGTTTTTGTTATTTTTAGTCATTTTTAGTTCTCTTCTCCTTTTACAGTTCTTTTCATGATGGTTCTAGTGATATGACATGCACATCATAATTCTCAGCCTGTTCTTTAAAAGTCAGCTTAGTCAGGAAGAAATGAAACAATTTTGAAGATGATGGGGACATTTGAGGGAAATAAGTAAAGGCATTGTGAGATCATTTCAAGCCCAAATTGTGTGAAACTGGGGCAGATAGAACATAAAGAAACCTTATTAAAATGAATCATGCCGCATCAGGTTGAAGCTAAAGGCAAGTTTGCCCAAATTGACAGAGGCCGTTCGTGGTAATGAGAGTGATGGTGTTGTCCAAAAGTGCTTTGTAGTTAACAGATGCAGAAGGCGAATATGTGGATATGGTTATCAAATTTGGTACAATCAAAAGATGTTACAAATGTTTTTCTTAGTTTGTTTAATTGTGTTGTTTACACTTGACATGTTTTGTAGATTGGAATGACAAAGGCATTTTGTTCTGCTATCTAAACACTTTATCCTTCGTTACCCTTTGAGCCTTATTTATATTCTTTCATACCCCTCTTTCGGAATCAGTATCAAAGATCAGAAACGCAAGTGTGAAAGATAAGTAAAGGAAAAAGAGAAAAGAAAAAGAAGAAAAAGAGAGAAAAAGAAGAAGAAAAGGAAAAAAAAAGAAGAAAAAGAGAAGAAAAAGAAAAAGAAAAAAAACAACAAAACAACAAAAAGAGAAAAAGAAGAAAGAAAAGAAAAGAGGAGAAATAGTAAGAAAAATGAAAGAAAAATCACAACAACAAAGTAATTCCTATGACATGAACAACGTTCAACCTAATACTTTTTAAGGATACGTATGCAGCCTCACGATTCGGTCCCATCAAAATAAAATCCCAAAAGTCCCCAAGCAAAGAAATTGGGGCAGAAGTTGTGGTTGTTGCAAGAAATCTGATTCCAAAAGTTGTAATTTTGAACCCATTTGAATTGTTTTGGGCCTTTGACACTCTTTCTTTCTAACCCTATCCAAAATCCCACATTACGGTCCAAAGAATGACCTTTCGATCAGTCTTCGAGAAATGTCAAGTCAAGCAAGTGGAGGTGATTCATATCAGGGGCAACACTCTGGTCCAAGCAAGAAAAATGAAAAATGAGAGTCTTATGGTGAAAACTCTTACGGGCACCATAAGGCGACGTGAGCTGAGAGAAATCAAAAATGAGAGAGTCTTATTGGTGAAAACCCTCGCGGGCACCGTAAGGCGATGGTAAGTTGAGAGAAAGAACAAAATGAGAGAGGCTTGATGGTGAAAACCCTTCGGGCACTACAAGTCGAATAAGGATTGTGAATCAGATTGGATAATCGGAGCATTGAAGCCTAGTTTCAAGGTTTAGGAGTAAAACAGGAGTTGAACATCAGACTTGCTCAATAGAATAGGCCATAGGTGCATGTCATGGTCATTAGAGTTGGTATCCACATCTGATAGGTTTCTACTTTGTAGTTTTCTTGTTGGGAATCATCTCTTTCCTTTGTCCTTTACTCTATTCCTTTTGTCTTGTTTACTTCCTCTTCCTGAGTCTGTTTGGTCAAAATAAGTGAGAAATGACTTCAAAATTTGCCACCAGCTTTCCAATTGCACAAAACAGGATCTGGCCAGCACATTAAAGTGGCATAAGTTAGGAAAGAACAATGTGCACACTGAGTTGGTAGCAATCAACATGCTTTGGGATTCATGTGAAATACAAAGGTTTGGTATATATCAATTCATGAACAATGCAACAGATGGAGGGTGTAGGGTGAACGGATCAAAGGTATTTTTCTGTGATAAGATTGACAAAGAAAGTGGTTAACCAGTGACAAGCAAGGTCTTCCAAGCAGAAATCAAAGTTATCATGGCAAGTGAAGGAGCAATAGACCTCAAGGCCAAGGCCATATGGTTTAAGTCAAGAAAGAACAACATACGCACTGAGTGGGTGGCAATTGATGTGCTTTGGGATTCATGTGAGACACAAAGGTTTGGTAAATATCAGTTCATGAGCAATGCAACAGATAGAGATTATTTGGTCTGAACGGAGAAGAGGTATTTTCTGTGATAAGGATGACAGAGAAAGTGGTTAGCAAGGTCTTCGAGTGGAAGTCAAAGTTATCATGGGAAGTGGAGGAGCAATCGCCCTCAAAGTCAAGGCCACAAACCAACCACCGCATTTTAAACTGACAAGATTTTTCTTTGATTGAAACAGGGGCAGAAAATTTCGTTTGTTTCGGAGAAACCCTCCGTAAGGAAAAGCAAGCACCAGACAGGTTTGACCGTAAATTTTCAGGACCCTCCTGGAAAATGGGACCTAGTTTAAAATTTAAAACAATCATGAGTAGCATAATCTAGCATAAATGTACCCCAAAGGAATATAAGTTGGCTTCAGAGTTTGCATGTTTTTAAGATAGGATTCAATTAGGAGTTTTCAGGACCCTCCTAGATAATGGGATGTAGTTTTAAAACTTGCTTGGATAACAATACTTAGCAAAAGACATACCTTCAGAAGACATAATTTAGCTTTAAAATTATCATTTAAATAGGAGTTGCCAGGACCCTCCTGGATAACGGGATATAGCTTTCAAATTCTTGATAATGTTTGGTAACATGATTCAGTTTAACACTCACAGATGTGCCCAGCTACCAAACTGGGGCAGAAATTTTCTTTGTTTTTTCTATTTTTGTTGAAATCATGCACCCACTTGGAGAACAGGGAGGAGCAGTTCGAGTTCAGCAGTCAGGCGCCCACCTGGAGAGCACGGGAATACAATTCTAGTTCAGCAGTCAGGCGCCCACGTGGAGAGCACGGGAATACAGTTCAAGTTCAGCAGTCAGGCGCCCACCTGGAGAGCACGAGAATACAATTCAGGAGAGCACGGGAATACAGTTCAAGTTCAGCAGTTAGGCGCCCTCCTGGAGAGCACGGGAATACGTTCAAGTTCAGCAGTCAGGCGCCCACCTGGAGAGCACGGGAATACGGTTCAAGTTCAGTAGTCAGGCGCCCACCTGGAGAGCACGGGAATACAGTTCAAGTTCAACAGTCAGGCGTCCACCTGGAGAACACGGGAATACAATTCAAGTTCGACAGTTAGTCACCCACCTGGAGAGCACGGGAATACAGTTCAAGTTCAGTAGTCAGGCGCCCACCTGTAGAGCACGGGAATACAGTTAAAGTTCAGCAGTCAGGCATCCACTTGGAGAAAAGGAAAGCATCTCAGAGTATAATTCGAGTTCAGCAATCAGGCATCCACCTAGAGAAAAGGGAAAATATCTCAGATTACAATTCAAGTCGGCAACAAAGGGATTTCGCTGGGAGAATACAAGTTAACAAGGCAACAAGAACTACAAGAGCAAGTTTGAAGATATAGATCGGATTTTGTAATGCATAGATCATAGTCTAGTCTAGCTTCTTTTTATTTTGACATGGTGTAATAAGGAGCTCAGTAAGCAGCAGCAACAACAATAGTGAAATTACAGCTTCCCTTCCAGCTACCGAAACTTTCAGAACTACACTGACCTGATTCCTTTATAGCTAAGGATATGTAGGCAACATTTGAAGCAAGGTTCGGTCAGATCTTTCAAAAATACTTCCCACGGAGTATTCAAACGGGCAAAAATCGCTCGTATTCGCTCACTTTATCTTTGCCCGAAAACCTTTCGTGTTTTTTAGCAAAGAAGGGCAGCTGTGAGCACGTGATTTTTGCCCTAGATGAATTACTCCTATAAAATTCAAGAAAATATATTTTTCCAATTATCTGCCATTTTATAGGATTTTGGTAGGATTTTTATTAATTGTTTGCATTTTTGTGCACGTTTAATTTTTGTTTTAATTATGAAAAAATACCAAAAATATCATGAATTGCATTTAGGATTTGTTTTTATATTTTTAGAATTAACCAGTAATTATTTTCTTTATAAAAATTTGAAAATCATAAAAATAACTCATTTTTACATTTTTTGTCTTTTACTTTTAGTTTATTGATTTTCCTCTTTTAATTTAGAATTAAGTAATGTTTACAATTTTTACAACTAGTTAATTAGTTTAAATTCACATTTTTAGATAATCTAGGACTTTAATTTTAAGATTTTTAATTAAAGAAGAAGAAAAAGAAAACAAAGAAAGGCAAAAGGGCCATTTTGTAGCTCAAAATTGGACTGGGCCAGCTTGGAACAACCCATTTGATTTAAATTCCTAGCCCATTTTTAAAGGCCTAGACCATTGACCCATTAACTCTTGCCCCTCTTTATACCCTAAATCACTCACATTAAATGGGGCGAAGATCGAAGATCCATGGGAGCTTCCTCTCTAAAAAATACAGAACGACGCTATTCTCTGAGAACAAAAATCAGAGAGCTGGACACTGCAACAAGGAAGAGCAAAAAAACGTTTTCTCTGTTCTTCATCTTCCTCTCAACAAATGAACAAACCCATGCCGTCCACTCTAAATCCCTCCTCTCTGAAGATATAGTAGACGTCCGTCTTTACACATACACAAACACACGAAAAAATAACAAAATTCTGAAATTCAGTGTTGAAAAATTAGATTCTAGATCTGAAATATGATAGCTTCAAATGAAAGAAAGAAAAGAGGGTAGAGAGGAATCTTTGAATTGTTTGAGTTTACCTCAGCTCTTTTTGTTCTGGGTTTCATCTTCAAAAGCTTGCTCTTGGTATGAAATTCTGCTATTCCTCTGCCGAAAACTGCTTGCTGAGTTCCATAGCTTGGTTATCGGACTCCTATTTGGTCTCTATTTGTGATTTTTTTGGAAATTAAGGTATGTTCTATACCAAATTGGGTGTTGTCTCAATTTCTACGAAATGAAAAATCGAATTAACCGTTATTTTATGTCTAATTTCTCATGTGTTTGAAAGATTCCAGAATTTTTGCAGTTGAAAGATCTTCTATGTGTATTCGTTGAAGTAGATTTTTGTTTAAATGGGCATATTTTCTTAGTGTGAATATTTTTGTTTGGATTGTTTCGATCAGTTCAATTTTAGATAGAGTGATCTTTTCTTATCGTTCTTGAAGTATGTTAGAGATTTGGTTCCATACCATTTCTTAAATACTTTGATCATTAAATGACTCTTTGATAGCTCAGAATATCTAGGAATGCATTTATGGATGTTTACTTTGCTCCTTGAATGTTTGTTAAATATTTTGATTGCTCCGTTCGAGATAAGTGAGGATGTTTTCATGGTTTTTTTTTTAAAATCTTTGTTGCTAACAGATAGTTTATTAGCAAAGGAATGTGATTTTTGTTTTCATTTATAAAATCAGAAGCCAAAAATTCCTTGTGGCCTTTACTAAAATACTCGAGTCCATTGTGTTGGTGTCATTTTTGTTTCTGGATTTAATCGTGATATTTGATTATTTTTTTGGTTTTGAAATCGGCGAATGTGAAGGAAGAAGAATTT